TAGAAATAAAGTAGTGGTTGCCGTGGCAATGGGAAGGGGGATGGGAAGTTGGGGTTTAACAGAGACAGAATTTCAGTTGGGAAGATGACATATCTCTGAGATAAATAGTGGTGATGGCTGCACAACAGTATGAGTGTGCCCAACTCCATGAACTGAGCACTTAACATGGCTGGGGTGATAAATTTGGTATGTATTTTATCACAGTAAGAAACAAAAACAAACATTATAGTCTGCTGCCTCACAGAAAAGGAAGAGAACAGGCCTGAGAGCCCTAGAGCCTCTGAGCAGCTTACGATAGCACCTTAGCCACATGCCAATCTCAAGAGCTTCAGCCACAGGTGGCAGAACCTGGGAGAGTCATGGGCAACCTTTCCAGGGGGAGCAAAAAGCAGAGGAGATAGGCAGCAGTTCGTATTTCTAGATCCTTTGTTCCATCCACTCCTTAAAAGCAGGAGGCCCCACCAGATTTCTCTCAGCTTCCTAATTGTCAGCGTGGCTACCCTGAGCCCATCTCACCTCAGCCTGCATTAGGGAAGTTTCTTTTCCTTTTTTGGGAAATCTGCCTCTTCTGCACACCCACTAGTTATTCAGTTCATGGGTGTATTGAGAAAGAATTTCCCGAAAAAGGAGAAGAGACTCCCAAAAGTTAGTCCCAACTCAGAACTGTCTGGAAAGGCAATAGTCAGCTCCTGAAGCTGGACTGGGCCTGCCAGCTGCTGCCCCAGCAGCGGTCATCAAGCAGCCCTCACAGAGCCAGGACTATGACCGCCCTCCTCAGAACACACTGCAACCCTCAGACACCCACTTGCCTCACAAGGTCCCAGCTCAGGAGGACCAGTTTTCAAAACTCTTTGGATGGTGTTTCTCCTCTGTGGTAATCGATAAGGGTCACCACATGCCTAATCTTATTAGTACCACCTTCTTTCTTTTCCTGCCTGTCCCTGACCCTTCCCAAGCTGGGATAGAAATTCTATAGAAATGAATCACAAAGTTGGTGAGTGCAACACCACAAATATTTACTGCATCTGGTCCATGCCAGACAATGCAGAGAGATACCAAGAATTATCAGAGGTCCAACAATGGGAGGGAAATGCCACCATCTAGTTGGTAAGATAACATCTAAATAAATGAAAATAAATAGTAATATGTATAAAAGTCAAATAACAATTCCCAACATATCATGACTAAGTGTTAAGGGAACAGACCAACCATAAAATGCTATAGTTCAATAGTGCTTAAATCAACCAGGGAGGGTTGGAGCTGGGCCTAACAGGATTCGTAGGACCAGAGGTGTGGTGGCCACAGGCTGCTCAGAGCTGCTACTCTGAGAGACAAACACCCAGATGAGGCATGGTGGTCTGACATGTATGTACTCCTTGAGTAAGAAATAAACACAGGCAGTTCTGCCAGCCCTCGGGTGGCCTGACGTGCAGGGGGACACCACACAAACCCCTCCAGAACAGGAACAGATCTACCCCTATTCTACAACTGCCATTTCCTACATGGCTACAGGCTAACTACACCCCATCACTCTTCCAAGCCAGGAAATCTAACAGGCAAGTCCGGTGCTATTGAAGAACAGAGCTAATAGCAAATCAAATGTGTATTTTAATTTTAAGAAATAAAACTGCTGGGCACTGGTGGTTCATGCCTGTAATCTTAGTTACTCAGGAGGCAGCGATCAGGAGGATTGTGTTCGAAGCCAGCCTGGGCAAATAGTTCACAAGATCCTATCTTAAAAATACCCATCACAAAAAAAAAGGGCTGGTAGAGTGGCTCAAGGTGTAGGACCTGAGTTCAAACCCCAGTACCATAAAAAGAATCATACAGCACAATTATCCATGACCACCTAAGAAAACCCCATGGGGGGGGATTCTTTTTTAACTTAAAAATTTAAATTTAAAAATTTTTAAAAAGAAAGAAAACTAAGTAAACCACTGACCAAATCACTCAGGGGTTCTTATCCTGAGCACTGCTGATATTTGGCAGTTCTTTCTTGTGGAGGCTGTCTTGTATATCCTAGTATTGCAGTATCCTGGCCTCCACCCTCTAAATGCTAGGAGCATCCCTGTTTTAATAGTGACAAAAGGCTGCAGATATTGACATATAGCCCACAAAGGACCACCACTCTCTTATGCACTCTCAAAGAGACTCCTGTGCTGGGGAGTCCAGCTGCACCAAAATCCTCTCCTGCTCCAGGTCTGAAGACCCTGCTAACCCCAACAGGATGGGAGTGGGCAGATCAGGAGTATTGGCTGCTAGAAGGCTGACTGCAGAGTTGGAGCTCAAGGGCTCTAGATTGTCTTATCCATGCAGACCACTGGGTGTGGAAGAGCCCCCTTGCCTCCTCCTGCCTGGCTTCCATCCTGATGGCCTCCTTGTATATGAATTTCCTGATACAAAAGGAAAAGGTCTTACACATTCAAAGTGACACTTCAAAGACATTTCAACACAACTGCCACTGCTGTTTTTCACTCGTGGGAATAATGCCCCTTCACTCTTGGAGGTGTTACATATATATACACCGCCCAGTTTTGGCAGAACAGCACCAAATGTTCATCTGCTCCAAGATTATCTTCCAGAAAGTGGCTTAAGCACAAAAACTTTTAGCCCTGGGCATCCTACTAATGTCCTCTTTTCAGTCCAAGTCTTTCCTGGGGCTTCTTTCTTTCCCAATGTCCCTGGCATGGAGCCACCTCTGCCCACACCACATGAAATACTAGCCAGCCCACACTCAGGTTGCTGGGAGACCAGTGAGCACTGTGAGGTGTCAGCACTCCTGGCTCGATGGTCTTAGTTATTGAGGAGCAGCTCTTGGGATACAGCATAGGCTCTGTGCTACACCAACACAGTGGTGCTGGTATAAGTCTTTGTGCTGGTACAACTGAGCCAAAGGGAAGAACGGATTTTGTTGGACTTCAGTTGAACCTAAGGAAAGAGGTTCTGACTACAATAACCAGTCACCAAGGAAGTTCCAGGGAGTTGTTTTCTGAGATGGTTCATGGTCCCAGACAGTTTGAGTGTAATCCAGTGACCTCTTGAGGTTCTTTCTACACTGTTAGCCAGTTGTAGGACAATCAGGCACACGGAGGACAAGGTAAACCTCAAAGCTTACCCAGCCCCTACCTCAGGACTCCTGTCCATGTGACAGCCAAGCCAAGAGGATGCCAAGGGCAAAGTAGAGTCTGTCCTTGAGGCCTGCCTCCTGCCCCAGGAGAAGTGTGTTCACGTGCATCATCTCCTTGCTCCTATCTCTAGCCAGGTCATCACCTGTCAGCACCCACTTCCAATCCACTCACCTCAAACTACGCTGGAGCACAGATAGCTCCATGGCAAAACCTTCTGCAGTCCATTCACAGGGTACAAATACACTCACCAGAAAGAGTGATGAGGAGAAAAGTCTTTTTTAAGAAGGAACCAATGAGGCCAGGCATGGTGGTGCCCACCTGTAATCCCCGCTATTAGAGAGGCAGAGGTAGGAGGATCAAGAGATCAGAGTCAGCCTAAGCAAAGTTAGCAAAACCTCATCTCAAAAAAAACAAAAAAACAAAAAACACACACACACAAACAAAAGGGCTAGGGGTGTGGCTCGAATAGTACAGCTCTTGACTTGAATTTAGGAGGCCGTGGGTTCAAGCCTCCATGTGGCAAAAAAAAAAAAAAAGCAACCAATGAGAATGAGGTGACAGTCAATACAGAAATATATGTGTGTGCGTGTGTGTATGAGAGTGTGAGGGGGAGAATGAATATATACTTATAAATGTATATATACATATATATATGTGTGTACGTACTCACACACATATATATGCTAGCATAATATGTGTGGTATCACACTATCATTGGTCCCAGGAACAAAAGTAGCAAAAGTACCACATCACAAAGAATAGGAAACCAACCCACTCTGGCTTCTGCACACAAAAGCTGTAATGATCACCCCCAAATCCCAATGTCCCAATGCTCTGTAAGGTCCTTGGATCATCTAGTCATCCCACTCATACTCCAGAAGCTTCTTACCATCGCAGTGAAAAAACAACCTCTGCATGGGACAGGTGAGGTCAACTTATTTCAAACAGCATGAGTAGATTTCCCAGGATGGCCCTAATTTTCAAAGGTTGCCCGCAGGTATGCACATTCATATACACATACTGTTTCACTCAGATGGTACAAGAGAAGAGTCAGTCAAAGCTTCTATCTTTAACCCTTTATAAATACAATCATGCTTCAGTTAGAGGAGAAGAATCACCTTTAGAGAAAAAGGGAGAAGATAACATGTGGAAAAGGAAAAGCCAAACATTCCACAGGGCTGGGTTGAGGGGTTGGCCTCTGGAGCAAGAGCAGCAAAAATTTGTCCAGCTCAAGAAGCAGATGAAAAACCAGGTAGGTGGCAGAGCACAAAGGAGCCCATGTGCCTCTTGAACACTGACCCAGGACCAGGAGGCCTCTGACATCAGCTAAAAATATCCACATCAAAATCTAGTGGGAAAGACTAGAATGGCTCAAGTAGCAAAGTACCTACCCAGGAAGCACAAGGCCCTTAGTTCAAACCCCAGTACTGCCTCCCCCCACCCCCACCAAAAAAAAAAAAATTCTTTCAAGATCTAGTAGGAAAAGCAAAATCAGTCACAGCCAAGAACTGAGAGGCAGCCCTGGGATGACAGTTCAGGAACCTACCTGTCACCATCCATGCCTAAAGGTCATAGCCTGTGCAAGTCTCCGTTGAGACCCTGAACTTTGCCCTCACTTTCCCTAATGTCAAGTCCAAACTCCTATCAGCCTCAAATAGATGTGACTTCCTCCCTTACTATTCCTCTCACCCATGACCACTGAAGAAGACACCTCAAATTCAAGGTCTACATTTGCAAAGCCATCTCCACCAGGTACCATGAGTCCTTCAAAATATTCCAAACTACTAACCAGAAACTCAAGCAGAGCTGCACTCACATGGTGCTGACAATGACACCACAACTGAGGGGATTCAAAGCGACAAGGACACTTACCATCTCATCCAGGGCATAACGCAAGAGGCCGTGCTCGTAAAGGATAAAGAACCGTCGCTGCCATTTCTGCAATAGAGCACAGAGTCCGTGGTTAGGGGTTCTGGCCCCAGGTCTTGACTAGCTCCACCCACACATCTGACAAACCTGTATCAAAGGAACATTGGCCCTGGTGCTTCCATTTCTAGTGCAGATGGCAAAAGAAAAGGGACCCGAGGCATAAACACCGTGATTCATTAACCAGGATGGGCTAGGAGAAGGACCTAATCACATAAGTGACTTGTGGTTCCACATGAATTACTGAAGAGTTTAACAAGAAGTCTCTTTTTAAAATCTGGAAGCTCCTCAGAAACAAAAACCATGTGTGGTCACCTTTCTGTATTCCTCATGGCAGTTAGTAGAGCTGTCACATGATTTGTGTTGTTACTGATTAGGTGAATGATATGACACAATCTGGAATGACCTGAGGTTGCCAGGGCACTGATTCACACTTCTGAAAAATTCCAGGAAACTGCTCTGATGATCTACTGGGCAGCAGGAAGAAGACAGTCAGGCTCCAGAATTCCGAGGTGGAATGAGCTAACAAAAATCAAAAGGGAGAAGGAACGAGACCAGAGAGAATAACCCCATTGTCTAAGGTGTGACCAATGGCAAAGGGTACCTCCTCTCACTGTCTACCCAAAGGCTAGGTCACTGGGGATGCCTCCAACAGTCAAATGCAACTGAGGGCTGAAAAAAAAGAACTGTGAAGGTGGACATCTTCCCCTTCTCTATGGACAAGGCCCTTATCTACAAGACGAGGTTATGGGCCTAAATGCAGAACCCCAAAATCATTAGCAGGATGCAGAACCTATTCCTAGCATTTCAAAAGCTCAACAGTGTTTAGATCTTCACTGGCAGTAAGGCCACAGAATTAACTTCAAGATTATGTCTCTTTGCTTTGAAGCAGAATGGTATCATCTATAATAGTGACTTTCTCTCAGGAACTAGGAATGGCAATTCTGTACAACTTTAAGAGAATCCAGGAAGGGCACCTGCTCCTGAAAACATCAGGAGAGACTGGACCCACTCTCTCCTGAGTGGCAGGAACGGGGACTCACAGGGCCTTGCAAACAGGACTTGCAGGGACTGCTTCCAGCCTGGATATTTAAGGAAAGGCTGTCTGAACCTGTCTTTCAAAAACATTTCCAAGGCTCCTATGTGTTATCTTTGAAATCAAACCCCACTCCAGAAGGAAGCCCAAAGACCAGAGATACAATGCCGGTTCTGTGGAGCCACAATACACAGTGAGCAGACCAAGGGGAAGGGAGAGGAGCTTCGGGATGAGAAGAGGGTAGAGCTGAAATAGTTTACACCTGCAAAACTGTGAGATAAAGAAAAGACTGTTTTAATTGGAGCTAAAGCCAAAAGGGCTTCCTGTCAGAGGAGCAAACCACCTGTCAACATAACACTGGTTTAATAATCTCACTGCTCCAGCAGAGACCTGTCCCAAGGTTCCCAGAGATAGGGGAATTTCAAGACAGTGAGCGAGGAGACCAGGTTTTCAGGCCCCATCCCTTCACTAGTGCTTAGCCCCTAGCTCAGAAGGGAGCAGCTGGAGGCAGGGCCTTGGCACTGAAGGAATTGGGAGCTAAATTAACACAATGCAACATATACTCAAGTGCTCTTCTGCCTTTCTTTTGAATTGTTTTAAGAGTCCAGGTTAGAGCTGCTCATTGTGAAGAAAGGACTCTGCATAGCTATGTGTAAGTAACTGAGACTTTTTCTGAGTTTGCCAAATAAGTCCTTTCTGACCCTGCCATCCCAGAATTCACTGTTCAATTTTTATCTACCTCTCCCATTCCACCAGTATGCCCTCAGATGTGTCCCCTTCTCTGGTTCCTCATGCCCTGAGAATTTGCTCTGGTATCCTTACCCGAGACCGGTGCACGGGGTTGTCAAAGTCAGTCCCATCTGGAGCCAGGAGAAGCCAGCCACCATAAATGGGTTTTGCCTAGAAGAGAAAAAGAGAGCAGGTCATCAGTGGCATTGGACCAGAAGAGGAAAGAGCAAGTCAAGTTGACAAGCAGGAAGTCACCTCCCACTCTCCAGCCACAAGCTGAGTGTCCAAGGTAGATACTTGTAAGTAAGAGACTGTTGGGGCAGGGAGTGGGTAGAGGGGGAAAAGAGGATGGGGATGATCTAGTCAATGTACAATATAAACCTAAATCGGAACTATCACTATGAATCCTCCCCTGTATAATCCTTATTAAAAAATTTTATAATGAAAATCTTTAAAAAATTGGGGAAAAAAAAGAGATTGAAGGAATTCTGCATCATCTGGTGTGAAGAGAGGAACACAGAACCCTGCCTGAGTCTGAAAACTTATTAACTACAGAAACCTAAGAGACACAGGCTACCTTCCCCCAAGTTCCTCATCAACACACCAAGACTAGGAAAAAAATGCCATTTTATTTAATAAATATGTTAATTCCAGCACATGTTGGGCACCAGGAATGTAGTGCTAATGACACAGACCAAAACCCTCATGCTGCAAAGCCGGGCCTAGAAGAGATCAAAGCCAGCAGCAGTCAAAGATTCATCAACCAAATGGGCAGCCAAAGGCAAGAAACCCCTGAGCTTCAGCTCTCCATCCAGTTGTTTCTCAATGTAAAAAGGATGTGTCAACAGTTTTAGCTATCCCTCATGAAGTTTATGTGAAAAGTGGTAAGATAATGCAAACAAAGCCCACCACAGGAAGGTAAGATGGTAAGGCCACTTGAGCAAAGTCTGGCAATTGTGCAAAAGGTTAAGCCCCAGCAATTTGACTTCTAGGTAGATGCACCTGAGAGAACTGAAAACAGACAAGCAAATGAAAACATGTACCAGGATGTTCCTAACAACATAGCTCACAACTACCCAAAGGTGCTAACAACATAAATGTCTATCAACAGATAAATGGATGAGCAAGCTATCCACACAATGAATACTGCTTAACATGACAAGGAAAGAGGTACTACTGCATAGTATCAGCTCATGAACCTTGAAAGCAGTATGTGATTTGGAAGCTGCCAGGCACAAAGGCCCACATACTATAGAATTCCACTTATATGAAATATCTGTAACAGGCAAACCCATACAACAGAAGGTGGATTAATGGTTCCCAGGGGCAAGGGGAAGAGAATTGAGTGGGGAGGGAAGGAATGTGAGCTAATGGGCATGAAGTTTCTCTTGGTGGGGGGGGATAAAAAAATTCTGGAATGAGACACTGGAAATGGTTACACATCATTGTGAATATGCTAAAACCCACTGAATTGTACATTTTAAAAGAGTGGATTTTATGGTATGTGAATTGTATCTCAATTTTTAAAAACTCTGTAAGGCAAAAAAAAAAACCCACTGAGTACAGCATCTGGCATATAAAATCACAATAAATGTGAGGCACTGTTACATTTTTACTGTCCCAAGAACCCCACCCCACTCCCAAGACCCTCAAGACACTCTGGCTCCATCTTCCTTCGCAGCCACACCTAGCTGGTGAGAAGGGGCTGGCAAAGGGACAACTGGGCCACTACTCTTTGGAAGGCAGTAACACAAAGGAAACCCAAATCCTCTGACTACTCTGGATAAGCTGCAGGTGGCCTCTTAATATACTTTTTACTCAATACTCTCCTAACTGGGAGGATCCTTCATACCACCCTTATTTAGTCGTGGAATCCATCATTTAGGGCAGGCTGCCTGCTAGAGGTCACATAGCCTCTAGGCTGAGTCATGAACCCTCTCTTTTCTTGGCTTCTTTGCCCAGGGTCCTCAAGGTCCCCCGGGAGAACTGACTTTTCCCAGGAGCAGAGTGGATAAAAGGGGAGACCAGCAGTACAGCAGGCTTCAGGAAGAAGAGAGCCTTGCTTTAATTAAACAGGAGTGCCAGCCAGTCCCCAGGGGGACAAGCATGCTCAGTCTCTCCCCATACCACTCTGGGTGTGTACCCTAACTGGCCCCCTTAAAACCCACCCACAGCATAGGAAAGTCAGAGCTAAAGCCAGACCTCTCCCTGTGTGTACCCTGGACCCAGCGACCTCTACATGGCCTCTCAGCAAGGTTGCCACATTCCCCACCTGTGAGATCAGGTCAGCAGGCTATACCTCACAATAGGCTCTTCATCTCTGCCCAGTCTGGCTGTGTGCTACCTTCCTGGCCTCTGGCTGTTAGACTTTGGGCATCACCCTATCATCAGCCATCTACCTGACCTTCCACAAAAGGGACAGTGGAAACTTGAGTGACTGGTACAAGTTCCCTTAGAGCCTAGGCCATGATCTCACCCTAACCCACATCCTCATTGGCACTATTATTCACTCAATAAACATCTGCCCAGGCCATGTGCTGCCAGCACCTACCTGAATATAGAACCTAATTCAGATCACAGAAATGGGGTCCAGGCCAGCAGGATGGGTGATCAGAGGGCCCAGCACAAAAACAAGGGCTCCAGCAGGAGCTGGCTGGGAAGCCCATGCTGCCCACTGAAACACTTTACAAAGGCCAATCCAGAGGGAAAGAAACAAGGTTGGTGGCAGCTAAGGCTGGGCAGGCTGAGATGATAGCCAAGGGTGCAGAATTTCTTTTGGGGATGATGAAATGTTCTAAAAGCAACTGCTGATGGCTGCTCATCTGAAAATCCACTGAATTGTACACTTTAAGTAGATCAGTTATATGGGATGAATTTTATCTCAGTAAAGCTGAGATCATTTACCAAGGCCTATGTGGGGTGGTGGAGAAGTGGAGACTGCTCCTACTTCACACTGTCTGCAGGCAATGGTATAAACTAATTCAGTTCTTCTCCCCTGCTAAAGGAAGCCAGGCTTATAAAGGGCCTGGGGGCAGTACCTAAGTTTTCAAGTGACTCTGCCCCAGGCAGGTTTGGGAAATTTCAGAGAGACAGGGACAATGTCACAAAGGACAGTGATCCATTGGTTTGTAGGAAAGAGCTAAAGTAGGCCAGACAGGAAAGGGAGTACGAGGGCCCCGGGGGCTGAGCAGGCCCCACAAGGTGTGAGGTGTAGGGTGACACAACAGCTCCTGACGACACCAGGAATGTGCCACACATGAGGCATGAGGTCACTGGAGACAGGATAGACATGGCCACTCTGTTTGGTCGCCCTTCACGGCTACCATGTGAGCAAAGGCTGTAAAGAAGGAGGGGAGACAGACAGACAGACAGACGCAGGCAGACACACACACACACACACACACACACACACACACACACACACACACACGAGTCTGGTGAGGTCATAACTAGGTGCCATCTTTAGTTCTTCAGAGCCTCCCACTAAGCACATCCAGACTGTAGCCTGTTCAGGACCCCACCCACATAGCTTGGTGGCTTTCCCCTGCTGCTGTCTCCCCAGCTCTCCCACCCTGACCCTCTACCTGGCAAAAAACCACCCATCCCTCAAGAATCCATGGCCCCTCCTCGAGAGCCCATCGTGACCTCTCTGGTCAACATCTACTGACTCACCTCCATCATTACAACAATGACACATTTCAGAACTAATACATGCCTATCATTTTGCCATGTAATTACACTGTTATGTCTTGCCTGTCACGCAAACCAGAACCTGTGCTCCAGGAAGGCAGGGATGGGGCAAGCCATCCCTGGCTGTGTCCTCCATCCTGAGGCAGGTCTGCAGAGAAGAAAGAGGAGAGGCCAGCAGCTAGTCCACTACAGTCTACCCCCAGTCCTGGGGGCATAGTGCACTCTCTCTGAGCTTCCTTTTCCTCAGAGAACCTATGGTCCAGATTTGGCTGCCCTGTCCTTGACCCCCAAAGCATGCAAAGGCCTGCCAGAAAGAGCTGTTCTCTCACTATCTAAAAAGACCACATCTTCACTGCCACAGCAGAGGCAGTGTTTCTAAGCCCATTAGTGGCCAATACCAGAAGCTCACAAACAGTGGCAGGAGACAGCCCAAAAGGAAGCTGGCCCAAGAATTGCACGTTGGCAACTCTGAGTGCTGTGCTAGTTTTGCTGTTTTTTGCCTGAGTGCTTTGGACAAGTCAGGAAAAGTAGGTGTCTATTGTTGAAGGTGGGGTTGATCTGGGTTGCAAGGGTCCAAAGGAGGAAGCCCAAGTTCTGTTTCAGACAGCCCTGCAGAGGAGGCACATCCTTCCAGACTTCACAGAAAGGTCACCACACACTTGATCAACTTCCTTCCCTTACAACCTGCACAACCAGAGGAGGCACTTCAGGCTGGTATCTGAAGGGGCTTCTGAGGATCTGGGTATACTCTTCAACCCAAAGCCCTTTCAAACATGGTAACGTGACACATGGTGACTTTCAAACACTTAGACATACTGGCTAAGTACATCTTCTTTAGGCTTTCTTTTTGTCTCATTATCCAAGACTAGGTACTGGAGAAGCTGGCAATGTGGAAACACCAATGGGCACCAACAAAACCCAACAAATGTTGCACTGTGGCTAAAGGATCAGAAAAGCGCAGCCTAAGACAAAAAAATGTTTGTATGAAAACCATCCTCCTCCAGTTGATCACCCCGGGAAAGACTGCAGCCCCACCCCGAGTAAGCAAAGGCCAGTCATATACCCTTGCTCAGGCTGTCACAAGGCACCAACATAAAAGGAAAAAGACAAAAAGAAGCAAGGATAAGAGGAGGGAAGGGGGGGGTGGGTAAACCAAGAAACAAAACAAAACAACAAAAAAAAAAACAAGGTGCCCTATCTGGGCTGGTAGCAGAAGACACCAAGTGGGGTACAATAAGGAGAACCCCTCCCATACCATGACAGAGGAAGCAGAGTAGAGTCAGGATTTTTGCCACTGCCCAGTGATAACAAAGTCAACCCCACCTGACAATAATAGGAAACTTCCCTACCTCAGTGTCAAAGGAGACCACATGGGGTACTTGACCTCCTTTCCCCTACTGGAAGAGTGTTAGAAAAACCAACTAAATGACAAAGATCAAGTGAGACACAAAGTCACTCAACAAAATACAAAAAAATCCAGA